TATATATATATATATATATATATATATATATATATATATATATATGTGTGTGTGTATATACACACACACCTGTTTGTGAATAGATCAGTCTCTAATTCTATATTACAAATTGATTTGCTTGAACACTTTTTGAAAGCAGGAAAGTTCACGCAAGGATTAGTCACTCTGTTTGACCTCGTGCATGAGAGCGTGCATGATGTTTCTGCATGATTATTACAGGTAAAGTTTTCCTGCTTTGTGTTTAGCGTGGCGTGTGTCGGCGAAGTGTAGGAGTGTTTGTTTGTGATTGTGAAGTGTGTGAGTGAGTGTGTGTGTGTGTGTGTGTGTGTGTGTGTGTGTGTTGTGTAAATGTATGTGAGAGAGAGAGAGAGAGTGAGAGAGAGAGAGAAGAAGGGGAGAGAGAGAGAGAGAGAGAGAGAGAGAGAGAGACAGAGAGACAGAGGACAGAGACAGAGACAGAGAGACAGACAGAGAGAAAAAGAGAGGCAGAGACAGAGACAGAGAGAAACAGAAACAGAGAGAAAGAGAGACAAGAGAAAGAGAGATACGTCCACATGTATCTGCGTTCGTGTGTACATCTTTTCTCTGCAGAATATCCACACCCAGTCGCTTGGCTATTCATTAACATTCCTTTACAATTCAGTAGTTCTCAATACGCTTTAATTAACTCTATCCTCCATTCCTATCGACCGACCGCTATCACTTCAATCAGATGAATATAAAAAAAAATTAACGTTAAAGATTGAGATTTGGTTCAATTCGACATTCTAAACTGCAAGCGTGAACGGGGTGTGAAACCTCTGAATTTAACTCTTTTTTATGCCCCTCCTCGTCTGTTTCTTCCTCCTTCTTCCTCCTCTTCCTCCTCCTTCTTCATTCCTCATTTCTTCATTCCTCATTCCTCCTTCCCTTCTCCTCCTCTTCTCCTATCTCCTCTCCTTCACTTCTCCCCTCTCATTTTCTCTCCTTGCTACTCTTCCTCATCCTCATCCTTTTTCCTCTCCTCCTCCTCCTTCTCCTCCTCCTCCCCCTCCTCCTCTTTTCCCCTCTTCGTCCTCCTCCTCTCTCTTCATCCTTCCTCTCCTCCCTCCCTCTCCTTTCCCTCTCTTCCCTTCCTCTTTTCCCTTTTCACCCTTCCTTCCCCCTCCTTTCCTCCTCCTCCTTCTCACCCTCCACCCCCCTCCATCACCACTCCCCCCTCCCCCGCCTCACACTCCATCCCCCCCATCCCCCATCTCACCACTCCATCCCCCCCCCCCCCCCCCGTCTTTCAGTAGTATCGACGCCGTTTTATCATGCACGATGGTCGAAGATCCCTCCTCTTTTTATATGGATTTTCGTTCTAAACAGCTTTGACTCGGTCACTTAATTGCGCAAGACGGACGACATTGCCTCCGTAAAGTTTCTAAAGTATCGACATTTTAATACGGCGTCAACTTCAGTGACTTGGCTCTCTCTCCTCCCCTCCCTCTCCCTCACCCCTCTCCCCCTTACCCCACCTCCTTTCCCCCTTCCCCCACCTCCCTTCCCCCCCCACCTCCCCTTTGCTCTTAGCCCACCTCCTCCTCCTCTTTCCTCTTAGCCCACTTTTCCCTCTCCCCTTCTCCCACTCCACCCGCCCATCTCCCCTTTCTCCCTTTCTCCCTTTCCCCTTTCCGCACCTCCTCCTCCACTTTCCTCTTACTCCACTTCCTTCTCCCCTCCCCCCACACTCCTCCCTCCATCTCCTCTTCCACTCCCTCCTCCTCCCTCCTCCTCCTCCTTCTCTCCTCTCCCTCTCCCTTCACTTTCTCTCCTCCCTCTCTTCTCCCTCTCCTCTCTCCTCCTTCTCTTCTCCTTCTCTCATCTCTTCTCCTTCTCTCCTCATTTCCCTCTTCCTTCTCTCCCCCTTCTTTCCTTCATTTCCCTCTCCTCTCTCCTCATTTTCCTCTCCTTCTCGCCTCCTCTCTTCTCCTCTCTTCTCCCTTCTCTCCTTCTCTCCTCTTCCCTCTCCTCTCTCCTCCCTCTCTTCTCATTTCCCTCTCCTTCTCTCCTCCTCTCCTCATTTCCCTCTCCTTCTCGCCTCCTTCTCTTCTCCCTTTCTTCTCCTTCTCTCCTCCTTCTCTCCTCTAAATCTCTTTTCTTCACCGAAAGTTTGGAAATGATTCTCTTCTATATTTTTTTCTTCAGTAAATTGGATTTGTCTTTCCATTCTTTTATTTACCAGGACTAGTTTTTTTTTTTTTTTTTTCTTTTTTTTTTGGGGGGGGGGGGGAAGGGGGTTACGATACGTTTGTGTGATGCTGGTGATGATGATTATGATGATGAGGATGATAGTAATGATTATGGTGAGGATAATGATAATGATAATAAAGATAATGGTAACAGTAATGATTATGGTGAGGATAATGATAATGATAATAATGATAATGATAATGATGATGTAATAATTATGATAAAAGTAATAATGATAATGATAGTAATAATGATAATAATGGTAATAATGATAACAGTAATAATAATGATAATGATAATGATATTGATAATCTTAATAATGGATATTGATAATCGTAATAATAGTTATAGCAATGATATTGATCATAAAAGTAATTATAATAATGATAACAATAATAATAATTATAACAATAATGGTAATGATAATAGCAAAACTGATAACAGCCTGGCAATATGAGGGAATGCATGCGAACATAAATGATGCTGTATCTGGAGTAATTAACTTTCGTGGTTATCCATCGAGATATAATTACGGTTTTCAATTAAAGTTGACAAAAAATATCCCACAAAAATCTACGGACTGATAAACCCAACTTTCAGCCAAGGGAGCCTGTGTGTTGAAAAACATAATAATAATAATAATAATAACTAATGTTTTTTTTTGTTGTTATTTTCGGTTTCTGAAATGAGTGAAAGTGTTAGTGCTTTCCTTATTCGCATAATGATCCTAATTTTGTTGGTTAAGTAATTATAGCAAAGGTGATTATGTTGATGTTCTTGATTGCAATTGATGCTCTCATGATTGTTGTTGTGATTATTAATATATGTCACTGGTATTGGTATAATTATTAGTATTATTAGTGTTAGTATTGTTATTGTTATTATCGTTATCATTGGTATCATTTTTGTTATTGATGTTATTAGGATTATTGTTATTATCATTGATATTATTTTTTCTGTTATTATTATTGTTGTTATTATTATAGTTATTATTTATTATCTTTATCATCATCATCCACCATCCAACCATCATCATCATCATCATTACTACTATTGTTCTCTGTCGAATCGCATTTCAAATCGAGCCTCCATAATTCTCAAATACAAACAAATAAAGACAGATGGAAGTGAGATGCAGCCAATGGCCAATATGATTCACCAATTTTGTGATATATATATATATAATATATATAATTATATTATATATATATAGCAATATATATATATATAATATATATATATATATATATATATATATATATAATATATATATATATATATATATATATATATATATATATATATGTATATATAGTATATATATTATTACATATATAATATATATATATATATATATATGCATGTATATATCATATATATATATATATATATATATATATATATATATATATATATGCATATACATGTATGTGCGATGTGCTATGTATGTATGAATGCCCTCTGCGACAGCAAAAATGCGAAACCGCCCACAAGAAATATCAGCTGCGTCATGAAATCCGTACTCCCAAAAGTCACTTTGAGATTTCACAGCGGCGCGCCTGTAGTAAGAAAAAAAAACTGCATAATTTCACCCCGAACAAAACATGCCCGCATCTGTTATACTCTTACTACTACAAACAACTTACTAACGGGCACACAGTGCCGCAAAGAGAGTATTTCCTGGGTGACGTCGACAACGAAGAGTGAGAGTTGGCCAACGCGCGACAAAAAAAGGGTTATTAAAAATCCCCGACGCTGTTGCGTGGTCTACGCGAGAAAAAAAAAATTGGAACGAAAAGTCCCCCCATATTTAAGAGGAAAGGGATGCACCGCCCCCCTCACCCCTCCCCCGCCCTCTCCATTTCGAGTGAGAAGAAGACCCTTCCTCTCTCAGGCGCGGACATTCGCGGTTGCTCATATGATGTGCGGGGAACGTTTTCCGACCGGTCATCCTCTGTAGTGGGCGGAGTCTCGTAGAGTTGATACGTCGAGAGCCTCACTAAGCCTACCTCTGAGGAACAGTTTAAGGCGCGCGCCATGAGGCACGAGAATGACTCGTTGACGTAGTCTTCCATCCGGCGGAGCATTTGGTTGTGGTGGGTTGGCGATCGTCCGCAGATCAAACGTGTCAGGTAACGGTCCTTCGGCTACCGGATCGATGTCGATGTGATCCTAGAGTGTCTGGTACGAACTAGGTGGCACTATTATTTGAAGAGCGATCTTTCCGGCAGGAAGTTCCGTGACCGGTGCTGTGACAAAATAAAGACTCGAGAAGATAACAACAGACCTGTGGACTCTCAATGTGTACATCTATGTCCAGCTTTGCGTTGTTCTCCACAAACTCTCCTCGCTGTCTGATCCTTCTCCTAGGTGCCCGCCAGCGCGTCTTCACTGAAATAACAATACTATCAATACCACCCACCTAAATAAATAACCACACCTCTCTAAATAACCACCCATAAAAAAAAAAAAAAACAAATCGTAAATACAGGGGAAGGCGCGAAGATATCCGGACTCGCATTCTCCCTCTATATAACCTGTCAAAGAGCATGAAACGACGGAAAGTCGAAGGAACTATTCTGTCGCCGATGACATTTCCTACGTCTTCTTGAGATGGAAATACACGCGACGCATTCCTTTGGCGTTAAGCGCGTAGGGCATCTCGGTGCATCGCTAGAAGGGACCGAAAAAGTCGCTCGCTCGCTCGGTCTCCAGGTGAAGTCGATCGGAAGTGGTGGAACAGTTGTTCTGGCTAATAAGTGTCGCAGGAGAAGCAAAAGTTTTTTCTAGGCTTCTGAACTTGATTTGCGTGGCTCTGAATGGCTGGAGTTTCTGGCTCTGAATGGCTGAAGTGCTGGGCGGACATCTGAATGCGCTGGAGTGTCTGGTCTGCTGAATGGGCTGAGTTTCTGTGCTCTGAAGGCTGGACTTCGCTCTGAATGGCTGGAGTTTCTGGTGAACTGAATGATCTGCTTAGACGAATGTGTTGGACTTCTGAATGGTGGTGTTTCTGGGACATGATATGGCTGGAGTTCTGGCTCGAATGGACTGGGTTTTCTGGAAGGCTGAATGGCTGGTAACAGGTGTTGTGGCTCTAATGGCTGCGCAGTTTCTGGCTGCGAATAGGCGTGCTGCCGTTGTGACTCTTGAATGGCGTGCGTGTTTTCTGGAAACTGAATGGCTGGGTTCGGGTGTGGCTCTGCTAATGGCCTGAGGTCTGGCTCTGCAATAGAGCTGGCAGTTCTGGAGTTCGTGAGGCGGAGTTTCTGGCTCTGAATGGCTAGAGTTTCTGGCTCTGAATGGCATGGTGGTTTCTGGGACGAATGGCTGGACAGTTTCTGCCTGAATGGCTGGAGTTTCTGGCTCTGAATGGCTGGAGTTTCTGGGACATGAATTGGCTGGAGTTTTTCTGCGCTCTGAATCATGGTCGGGGGGCCTTGGAGTTCTGGAATCTGAGATGCTGGAGTTTCTGGTCTCTGAATGGCTGAGTTTCTGGCCTCTCTGATTATGGCTTGGAGTTTTCTGGAACTAGAGATGGCTGGAGTTTTTGGCTTCTGAATGGCTGGAGTTTCTGGCGACTGAATGGGCTGGAGTTTCTGGCTCTGAATGGCTGGATTTCTGGACTGAATGGCTGGAGTTTTCTGCTCTGATATGGCCTCCTGAATTTCTTGCTCACTGGATGGCACTGGATGGCTGGCACGCAATGTGCTCTTGTTCTCTAGCTGAATTCTTTTTGTGTTTTAATTTATTCTTTGTGATTGTGTTCTTAATATACCGTGGAGCTCTATTGGCTTCCGTTCTTACGTTATGTTGTGTGCCTGTTGCTGCTACTTTTTATTATTATATTATTATTTATTATTATTATTATTTATTATTATTGTTTATTAATTTAAAAACGATTCAATCCAATATTATTATTATTGTTGTGTTCGTGTTGTTGGTGTTGCGTGTTGTTATTAAACTCATTATTTATTGTATATTATTATTATTGCTTAATTCGTTAGCCATTATTGTTGTTCTGTTATTATTATGTTATTATTATTATTATTATTATTATTGTCATTATCATTATCATTATTATTATTATTATTATTTATTCATTATTATTATTATTATGTATTATTATTATCTCATTATTGTCCTATATTACTTATATTATTATGGTCATTCATTATCATCAGTCTATCAACCATCATTCTCGTTCTCATCCCTTTATTATGATTGTTATTGTTGTCTAATCATTATAATAATAGTATAACAATCAATAATAATGATATTTACATGATCATATTAGGGAATATTATAATTCATTACTTTTCGTTTCTATTATTTATTCGATTATATTACTATGGAGATTTGTTTATTCATTCATTATATTTACTATAATTACCTTCATTATTCGTACATTATTATTAAGTATTCGTTATGTTAATCTATCCATTCCATCATCGTCTAATAGATTTCTTCTATTACCCACTTATTTTCCTTATCAATAGTAATTAATAGTCTTAGGTATGGTATTACTATTATAACAGATTAAATATAATACTGACTCTATTATTGATTGTATCTGAATATCTGTCTGACTAGGTATTAGGTGTATTATTATAATGTTAATATATTATCGATTAGTAATACTCAATGATTAGATTATATCGTATATCTATCATTATTATATTATGTATTACTGATGTATGTGATTGTATATGTATTAATATATGATATCGCTATCAATCCAGTTGTTAGAGTATCGAGTGACGTATAGTTCTTTATTATTATCATCGTCATCATGTGTGTTATAATACTATGTTGCCATTGTCATTAGTGTATTGCAGGATAAGATTACTAGGTGGTATATAAAGGAGAATAATAAGAAATTGTCTTTATTGCATCATCTATATAGATATAATAGGATAATAATGAATGAATTAATGAGTAGAATAAACGTGAATAGGATGATAGAAGATAGAGAGAAGTAACAATATATGCATAATAATAATAATAATAATAATAATAATAATAATGATGATAATCTATAATAATAAACAAATAATAGTAATAAAATAATGGTTAATAACGAAAATAAAGATAAAGAAATGATAATAATTATACTAATAATGATTCATGATTATAATAATAATATGAATTAATCAATGATAATAAAAATCATCACTATTATATAATGATGATTAATTGCATGATTTTCATTATTTGTCCCATTCTCTTCTCTTCGTATTTACCCCTCTCTGAGTGTATCTGTAAAGTTTCTTTCCTTACCCCCTCTCTTTTTCTCCTTTTCTCTCCTCTCTCTGTCTCCCTTTTCTCTCTCTCTCTCTCTCTCTGCTCTCTCTCACTTCTCTCTCTCTCTCGTCTCTCTCTGCTCTCTCGTCTCTCTCTCTCTCTCTCTCTCTCATCTCTGCTAACTCTCTCTTCATGCCCTCTCCCTCTCCCTCTCCCAGTGACTCCCTCTCTCCTTGCTCACAATGCTCTCTGCTCAGTCTCATTTCTTTCTCTCATTCAGTCTTTTTTCTCTACTCTCTAACCTTCCCTCCTCCCTCCCTCTCTATCGTATTCTCTTTCTCTTTCTCTCTCTCTCACATTTCCCATTTCTCTCTTATCCTCTTCAATTCCCCCATCCCTCTATCCATTTAACTTTACGCTTCTCTCTCTATTCTTGCTCTTCCCGGTGCTTTCTATTACGCCCCCCCTCCCACAATCAGAAAATGGCCATTGGCTCCATTTCGGAAAATAATACAAAATTATTATTATAAAAAGCGAGCCAAGTTCACCCAAGTCACGTTGATTCATACAACAAATATAGATCCTTGAGTTTATTAAATCGACCTGAGCCTACTACCCCCCCCCACACCAACCCCACCCTCCCACCCTGGTTAAAGCGCTAACCCTCACCAACTCCCGGTTCCTGCCGTCTACCATAACCACACCCAAACATCACAAAAAATAAGACGAGGAAAAAGTAAATAAATAGATTAAAGAAAAAGAAAAACAAGGCTAAAATAAAAAAAGATGTCTGGAAAAATCCGGGAAAATAAGAATTCTATGCCGATTTGCCGCTCTTAAGTATCAAGTTTATATAAAAGTTCTTAAGGCCAGTTCCAACAGCAATTGCACGTCTTATTTGTCACGGGATGGGAGCGTTTAAAAGTGACTTATCGAGATCTTATTTACACCGCGATGGGAGTCGTTAAGGAATTTGATATTGCTTATGTACTTGATTAATTATTCCGCTTTATTCAGAAGTTTGTTATTTTGTGAAGATACTANAGAGACGAACTGCGACAAACAAAAGACACAGCGAGCAAGAAGAGAAGAGCATGAAGGGGTTCCAAAGCAGTAGAAAAGGTAAGTGGCACCCCGAAGAGCCTCCGGTGTGGCACTCTCACCTCAGAGAGCCGGAGGGGGTGGGGTGGGGGTAGGGTCGGGGGCGCTTTGTCTATTGGCTGAAGGCTAAACTTCTAAAATGAAAAGGAAAATGAAAAAATAATGCAAAATAAAGATGGGGTCATGCTCAAAATTTGAAATAAAATTATAATCACTTATGTAAATAGAAGAGGAGGAGGAACGGAAGAGGGAGGAGGAGGAGGAAGGAAAAAGGAGGAGAGAGAGTAGGAGAGGAGGTAGGAGGAGGAGAGAAGAAGAAGAAGAAGAAGAAGAAGAAGAAGAAGAAGAAGAAAAGAAGAAGAAGAAGAAGAAGAAAGAAGAAGAAGAAGAAGAAGAAGAACAAGAACAAGAAAGAAGAAGAAGAAAAAGAAGAGGGGGAGGTAAAGAGAAGGTAGCAAGAAGGGACGAATGACAGAGAGGAATAGAATGAGAATCGGAGTAAATACTGAGAAGAAAAAAAAAAAGGGAAGAAGGAAGAACAGGAAGACGGGAGTTGAAGGCGAACAAAAAAAAAGAATCCAAAAAACAAAAGAAAGAAAGAAAACAAGAAAGAAGAATAGGCAACCAAATAATATAGCAATGGTGAAAAAAATATAAACACAGGGTTAGATTATGACTTCATTTGAAGTAGAAAGCCTCGTATGTGATCCATACAGAGCTCTCTCTCTCTCTCTCTCTCTCTCTCTCTCTCTCTCTCTCTCTCTCTCTCTCTCTCTCTCTCACTCTCTCTCTCCTCTCTTTCCTCCCCTCTCCCTTCTCTCTCTCTCTCTTTCTCTCTCTCTCTCTCTCTCTCTCTCTCCTCTCTCTCTCTCTCTCTCTCTCTCTCTCTCTCTCTCTCTCTTCTCTCTCCTCTCTCTCTCTCTCTTTTCTCCCCTCTCTCTCTCCTTCTCTCTCTCTCCTCTCTCTCTCCCCTATCTCTCTTTCTCTCTCCTCTCTCCTCTCATCCTCTCTCTCTCCCTTTCGTAAACCAATAAGCGTGAAGAGATGCCAAGAATGAGCTATGCATACTAATCTCCTTCAGGCCACCCCATCACGGGAGGTCAGTGACGTGACCTCTCTCTCTCTCTCTCTCTCTATTCTCTCTTTTCTCTCTCTCTCTCTGTCTCTATTCTGCTCTCTGTTCTTGTCTCTCTCTCTCTCTCGCGCGTGTGCGTGTACGTATGTGCGTGGATGTATCTTTACTTTCTTCATTTTCCTTTTGTTAGTCTGTCTCTGCCACCCCACCCCCTCTCTTCTTCCTTCCCTCCATCCCTCCCCCTCCCTCCCCTCCCCCCGTCCCCCATCCCTCCCCCTCCCCATCTTCCCCTCCCTCTCCCTCCCCCCCATCCCCCTCCCTACCTCGAGGCAGCGAGACCCCCTCGAAGGCAGCGGAGTGGAGGGCGGAGAAACTTCGTTAGTCCAACCCCTTTCTTGCGGGATTTCTGAAGACAGCGAGAGAGAGAGGTCGCGTCCTTGACTTTTAATATCAAAGGATAATAAACGGAACTGTATTTTTTTTTCTATTTTATAATTTTATATTTATTCTGACTTCGTATTTTTGTGGAGTGTTGTATCGTTTTCTTTTAATTTCTTATCATTGAAAAGATTGTATAAACTAAACGATAATCGTAATTTATATCTTATTAACATGGCAAAATAAGGTAGACCTGAATCAAAATAAATATAAAAAACAAACCAAAAGTAAAAGAAAAAAACTATTATAGAAAAACGATACCAGAGTTGAATAAAAAATAATAAATTCACAAACAAACCAAATGTAAAAAAAAAAATAATAACTATTAAAGAAAAACGATAGCGGAGTCAATCGAAATAATTTCCTCGTCACTAATGCCACCTCCTCCCCCCCCCCTCCCCTCTTCCCCCTCTCCCCCGAGAACCTCAACCTTGGCATTGTTTAATTCCTTTTGTCAATATTTTCTTCTTTTCTACCTGTCTCTTCTCCCTTCTCTTCTAACTTGTCCCTGGCATCTTTTGTCCTCTTCTTTTCTACCTGTCTCTCTCTCTCCTTCTCTTTCTTAACTTGTCCCTATTTTTTCCTCATTCTTCCTTACCTTGGCATTGTTTTAATTGCTTTTGTCAATATTTTCTCTTCCTTTCTACCTGTTTTCTCTCTCTCCTTCGCTTTTTAATGTGTCCCATTTTATTTTTCTCCTTCTTCTTATCTTGGTCCTCTTTCCTCTTTTCCTCATTCCTCACGCTCTCTTCCCTCTCCCTTACCCTTTTCCTCCTATTCTCTCGCCCCTCCTTTTCTTCATGCCCTTCAATTCTACATTTATTCTCACCTTACTTTCCTCTTCCTTTCCATTTTCTTTTTATATATTTATAACTCAGCTCCTATCCCCTATCCCCTTCTTCTACTTCCTCCTAGGCCCTCTCCTTCCGTTTCTCTCTCCCTCTCACACCCTCCTCCTCTTCTCTTTCCTTCCTTCCCCCTCTACTTCCTACGCCCTCCCCCTCTTTCTTCCCCCTCTCCCTCCTCCTCCTCCTCCCCTTCTTCCCCTCTACTTCCTACGCCCCTCCCCCTCTTTCTTTCCCTCTCCTCCTCCTCCCTCCTCCCTCCACTCAACATTTAAGTCTCCCCTTCTTGCAGGCAACTTTCCCCCCTTGTTCCAGCTAATTGCAACAAGGGAAGCAACTTTAGACTCGTTGCTCAATGAGCCTTTGCAACATTCTGCAATTGCTTTCTTTAGTGTTCCCATGAGGGAGGGAGGGAGAAGGGAGAAGGAGAGATAGGGAGATGGTGTAGGAGAAAAAACAAAAAAAAAAGGTGAGAGTAGGAAGGATAGGAAAAGGGATGAAAATGGAGAGAGAGGGGGGGGAAGAGAGGGGGAGAGGGGGAGAAAGAGGAAGAGGAAGGGAGAGAGGGAGGGAGGGAAGGAGGAGGGAGGGGGTTAGAGGAGAGAGAGAGAGAGAGAGAGAGAGAGAGAGAGAGAGGAGAGAGAGAGAGAGAGAGAGAGAGAGAGAGAGAGAGAGAGAGAGAGAGAGAGAGAGAGAGAGAGAGAGAATTTTCATTTTGGCAAGCACAACAACACGCCTTTATCAGTCTTTGTATGTCTTCATGTAGATATTACTTTAAAATTGGATTTACCAGCCAAAGACAACATGTGAGTGAGTGAGTGAGCGTATGTGTGTTCGTGTTCATGTGCGTGTGTGTGTGTTTGTGTGTACGCGCGCGTGTGTGTTGTGTGTGTGCATGTGCGTGTGCGTGTGCGTGTGCGTGGCGTGTGTGTGTGTGTGTGTGTGTGTGTGTGTGTGTGTGTGTGTGTGTGTGTGTGTGTGTTGTGTGTGTGTGTGTGTGTGTGTGTGTGTGTGTGTGTGGTGTGTGTGCGTGTGCGTGCGTGCGTGCTTGTACGTGTATGTGCATGTGCGTACTTTTGTATCTGTAACTATTTGTACTGGGCACATGCGTGCGCCAATACCTGCTAGCGTCCATAAATTCCTCGTATGATTTTCTGATATCGACAGGAGACGCAGCATTTGCATGTAAACAACAGAGCAAACAGCGAAGCATCTCCTCGCTTCTGCATCATCTGAAGCAAAAGTCAAAAGGCGAATATCCTTTTTATATTCGGGACAAGAGATGAAACAGGTAAATGGAAGACAAAATATTAATTCCATTCTTCCTTTCCGCATTTTTTTCTGTCTGGTTTGCAGGTATCTCATGTTGTGAAATCCCGTATTTTGGAAGCGGGATTTTGCAAAAAAAAAGAAAGAAAAAAAGAAAAAAAAAAAAAAAAAAGAGAATCATCATAATAACTGAATAAAAATAAATCAAAACAAAACAAATGAATAAAAATAAACAATCAAATATCAGACAAATAACCACAACGAGGGTATAACCGTTAACAACAATAATAACAAAATATACTCCCCCTTTACCCCCCTCCCTCCTCCCTCTCTCCCTCAAAACCCACTCTCCCTTCTCTTTCTTCCGCAAATCCCACTTCCTCCTCTTTTTCTTCGGACTCTCCCCTCCTCCTTCCCTTCCTCAGCAAACTCCTTCCTCTTCCTTTCTTTAACACGTCCTAGATTCTTCCCTCAATACATACTCCATCCTCCCCTCCCTGCTTCATCCTCCCCAATATCTACTCCTCCCTCCCTCCCTCCTGTCCCCATTTCTCCTCAATACCCACTTCTTCCTCCTCCTTTCTTCCTAGCCTCCCTCCCCTCTTTCCCATCCTGTCCCCCTCCATTTCTCCCTCAAAATCCATTTTCTTTCTCCATCATTCTTTCCTTGCCTAATTACCTCTCCCTCCTCTTTCCCGTCCTCCATTTCTCCCTCAATGCCTACTTCCTCCTCCCTGCTTCATACCTCCCCCCCATTTTTCTCATTACTCACCTTCTTCCTCCCTCCCTCATTTCTCCCTCAATCCACACTTCTTCCTCCCTCCTTTAAACCTTTCTCGCTCCATTTCTCCCCCATTACCCACTTCCTCCTTCTCCCATACTCCGCCCATATTTTCCTCATACCCACTACCTTTTTCCCTCCCTCCCATTTCCTCCCTCAATCCCCACCCTCCACCTCCCTCCTTCATACTCCTTCCTCCAATCTTTGCCATTTCACTTCCGGCCTTCCCGTCCCTCCATTTTTTCCCACTTCCTCCTCCCCCCTCCATCTTCCCTTCCCTCATTTCTCCCTCAAATCTCCTTCCCTCCTCCTTCTTCCATTCCTCCCCCTCCCTCCATTCACTCACATACCCACTCCGACTCCCTTCCTTCAAACTCTCTCCCTCCTACCCTCTCCCCTCCGCTCCTCCTCCCCTACACCCCCCTCCGCCTCCACCCCGCCACACCCAGCGACGCCCGCTTCGAAAACCTCCTCTTTCACGAGGTTCCTCAAATCCGGTTTCCCCTGCGTTTGATTCCACAGAGCTCGACCCTCTCCGTTCTTCTTCAAGGATATTTTCCCCTTCGTGTCCGCCCCCTCCCCCTTCTATTCCCCTCTTTTCCGTACTCCCTCCTCTCCTCCTCCCCTATTCCCCTCTTTTGACTTCTATCCTTCCCCTCCTTTCGCCGACTCCCTCTCCTATCCCCTCTTTTGACTTCTCCTTTCCCGTCCCTCGCCGATCCACCTCCTCTCCCTTTTCGACTCCTCCTCTGCTCTCCCCTCCTCTTCGTTCGGCACTCCCCCTCTCCTATTCCCTTTTTTCGACTCTCCTCTCCTCTCCCCCGTCCCCTTCGGCGTCCTCCTCCCCTATCCCCTCTTCTCCTACTCCGACTCCCTCTCTTCGCCCTCTTCCCTATTCCCCTCTTCTTCCCCCTCCCCCTTCCCTCTTCTCCACTCCCCCCTCCTCTATTCCTTATCGCCCATTCCTTCTCTTCCCCTGATCGCCCTTCTCTTGTTTCTCTTCCCCCTTATCCTATCTTCTCTTCTATTCTCTTCTCTTCTCTTTGTTGTCCCTTCTTCTCCGCCTTTTCCTTTATGTGGCCTTCTCTCCTTTTTTTTTTTTTAACTAATACCCTTTCCCTTCCTTCTATCTACCTTCTTTCAATCGCTCCCTCGCCATCTTTTTCTTTTCCTTTCTTCCCATCTTCCGTCCACACCCCTTTCTCTCTCTCTCTCTCTCTCTCGCTCTATTCTTGTACCTCATCTCCCCTCTTTCGTGTGGTTTCCCTCCATCTCTCCCCTGTATCTTCCTTCATCCTCCTCCCTTCGTTAATCTCATCTCCCTCTCTCCCTATTTTCTCTCACCCCGTCCTACGAGTGCTTTCTTCTTCTTTTCTTCCTTCTTTCTTCTTCTCCCTCCTCCCCCCCCCCGCCTCTCTCTCTCCTCTCTCTCTCTCTCTTCTCCTCTCTCTCTCTCTCTCTCTCTCTCTCTCTCTCTCTCTCTCTCTCTCTCTCTCTCTCTCTCCTTTCTTCTGCTTTTCCGGTCTCTCCAACACATACTTTCTTACTCCCTCTTCTTACAAGACATCAAGGGGCTTAAGAGACCACCATCGCCAGAGGCTGATAGGATGAGTGTGTGTGTGTGTGTGTGTGTGTGTGTGTGTGTGTGTGTGTGTGTGTGTGTGTGTGTGTGTGTGTGTGTGTGTGATGTGTGTGTGTGAGTGAGTGAGTGAGTGAGTGAGTGAGTGAGAGTGAGAGTAAGAGAGTGAGAGTGAGAGTGAGAGAGCGAGAGAGAGTGAGAGTGAGAGTGAGGGAGTGAGTGAGAGTGAGTGAGTGTGGTGAGTAAGAGGAGAGAGAGAGTGTGTGTGTGTGTGTATGTGTGTGTGTGTGTGTGTGTGTGTGTGTGTGTGTGTGTGTGTGTGTGTGTGTGTGTGTGTTGTGTGTGTGTGTGTGTGTGTGTGCGTGTGTGTGTGTGTGTGTGTGTGTGTGTGTGTGTGTGTGTGTGTGTGTGTGTGTGTGTGTGTGTGTGTGAGTGAGTGAGTGTGAGTGATGAGTGAGTGAGTGAGTGAGTGAGTAAGTGTGTGTTGTGTGTGTGTGTGTGTGTGTGTGGTTGTGTGTGTGTGTGTGTGTGTGTGTGTGTGTGTGTGTGAGTGAGTGAGTGAGTGAGTGAGTGAGTGAGTGTGAGTGTGAGTGAATGTGATGAGTGAGTGAGTGTGTGTGAGTGTGTGTGTGTGTGTGTGTGTGGTTGTGTGTGTGTGTGTGTGTGTGTGGTGAGTGATGAGTGAGTGAGTGAGTGAGTGGTGGAGTGTGAAGTGTGTGAGTGTGTGTGTGTGTGTGTGTGTGTGTGTGTGTGTGTTGTGGTGTGTGTGTGTGTGAGTGAGTGTGCGTATGTGTATGTGTGTGTTATGTGCATGTCTGTGTATTTTATGTGCGTGTACGTGTGTGCATGTAGATGTGCAACAATGTGCATGAACTGCCCCATACCAATTTACTGCCTCTGACTCCGTGAGCAAAAGTGACACATTTCGACGGCGTCTTAGAATTTCCTTTTCTGTCTCTCTCTTGCACTGGCTCTGCGTCTGCACGTGGCACCCGGAATGCCGCGGCCCGACGTCTCTGAGGCGACCCCCCACTCAGACACAGAACAGACCACACACGACACACACATACACACGCACACATTCACACACACACACACACATACACACACACACACACACAACACGCACACACACACACACACACACACACACACACATACACAAACGCGCATTAACACACACACACACACACCACACACCTTACACCCCAAAAAACCCACACCTACACCACAAAATACCCCCCCCCGCCACTACATCCATATCCCCTCCCCCAACTCACAGATTTTCCCTTTCCTATCCACACCCTCATCCCCTACCCTACATCCACACCCAACCTTCCCCACACAATAAAAAATCCTTCTCCTTCTACAGCCAACCCCATCCCCATCCCCACATACTCTTCACCCTCCCCTACATCCATCCCCACCCAACCCACCCAACACCCACAGCCCATTCACCCTCCCTCTACATCCGCCCCCCCCCAACCCACAGCCCATCCACCCCCCCACCTCCACGCCTACACCTACAACCATCCACCCTCCCCCTACATCCCACCACCACCCCCCAACACTCATCCACCTCACCCCCACAGCCAATCCATCCCCCACTCCTACACTTACAGCTCATCCCCCTCCACCACAACCTCCACTCCACAGCCCATCCACCTCTTCCCTACATCCACATCAACCCGACCCCCCCCACCCCCACAGCCATCCCCCTTCCCCACAGGCCCTACATCCACCCCACCCGCACCCCACAGCCATCCCCCCCAAACCCCCTAACAAACCACCACGCATCCCCTCGCACCTCCACTAAACACTTTATCCGGGGCATTTCCATCCCTTAATTAGGCACCGTAAGGCCGATGCTCACAAGCTATTACTCTCACCAATGACCCTTAATCACATCTCGTGCTAAAGATCATTAGGAGAGTCATTAGGGCCACTTCCTTGCCTCTGTGTCAAAAAAATAGGTATTTGTAGCGCCTGTCATTTATTTCGAGCGTTGTTGGTACTATTGGTACTGCTGGTATTTCCTGTTGTTACTCGTGACACTGATGGCACGGACTTCCGACGGACACTTCTGGCACTGTTGGTATTTTCCAAAGGGCAGCGTTGGTACTTTCGACTGGCACTGTTGGGACTGTCGGTATTTCGAGAGGAGTGTTGGTAATTCCAATTGGTACTGTTAGCACTTCCGAATAACATTTTTGGCACTGATCGCACTTCCGATTGGCACTCATGATTAGAATTGTCATTCTTGGTACACCTGATTAGAACTGTCATTGTTGATACTCCTGATTAGAATTGTCACTGTTGGTACTCCTGATTAGAATTGTCACTGTTGGTACTCATTACATTTGTCACCGTTGGTACTCCTGATTAGAACTGTCACTGTTGGTACTCCTGATTTGAACTGTCATTGTTGATACTCCTGATAAGAATTGTCATTCTTGTTACTCCTGATTAGAACTGTCACTGTTGGCACTCCTGATTAGAATTGTCACTCTTTGTATTCCTGATTGGTACTGTTGGTACGTTTGACACTCTCCTTCCAACGAACACTGTTGATTAAATCCCTGGCACCTTAGAACACACAGGGCGATGCCACAAATAGTTTCATCTTGATAACTAAGAAGGATTAAGGATAAAAACAATGAATAAGACGGCATAAATCCTCTTAGCCAGATTAAAACAAGATTTTGTTGTTTGTAACATTTCTCTCTCTCTTTCTCTCCTTCTCCCTCTCTCACCCTCTCCCTCTTTCTCTCCTTCTCCCTCTCTCACCCTCTCCCTCTCTCTCCCTCTCTATCCCTCTCCATTTATCATATTACCAAAAGTTATCACAACCATGCAACGCAACACACCCAGTGGCAACACTGGCTGCGACGCTGCAAAGTGGCACTACATTTAAACATTCACTTTGATGTCATTCTTTGTCACGCTGTTTGTTGCACCGTCGCTAGGCAAAGCAAGTACATCAAGCACTTGTTTCTGCAATTGCTTTAATTAACAGAAACAAATGAGGCTGTACGTCACCCAGGCATAGATTCGGGCGTGTGGGTGTCCTGTGCGCCTACTGCCAATGGGCGTGGAAGGGAAAGGTGGAGAGAGATAGAAGAGGGAAAGGTGGGATAAAGAGAGGGGATGGAGAACGGGCAGAAGGAGAGGTAGAGGTTGGGGAGAGGAAGGTGGGGGAGAAAGTAAAGAGGGGGTAGGAAAGAAGGAGAAGAAGTACAAGGTACAAGGGAAAAGCAAAAGAGGAAGACGAAACAAGGAATAGGAAATGGAACAGATAAAGGTTAGAGGGAGAGAATGAGGAGGAGGATGGACAAGAAGAGGAGAGGGGATGGAGATGAAAGAGGAGACGAATAAAAGATGAACAAGGGGAAGAAAACAAAATCGTTGGCTCTACCGACTAGCTTTCAGTTTTTTTCTCCGGTGCTGACAACACGAATTCCTGCATCGGGACATATTATTTGCAAATTAACACTTGCTGGCAATGCCACTTTGCCACTTAACCCTGGCCCAATCCTGTCACCTTCGCCCAGAATGCAAACTTCATCATCAAGCTGGCACTGAGTTCAATTCCTTTGGCACTGTCAGACTGGCACTGGTTCTCGACCGTGATATTCAGCTAGCCCCGAGTATCGCCCTCGCAATGCTGATACATTCTCGCATTCAGAATCCTGCGCTGAACAGGATCTCCGGCGACGAACTGCCACACTTCCCTTCTAATTCAGTCGTCTTTCTGTAGTCGCAGGAAATGTTCTCGAAGGGGGGGGGGGGGGGCACTGTTTATTTTTTCCCGTGGCACTGCGCTTTGCTTTATCCTTGGTGCCATCTTTTCCGCGATATTTTGCTGTCGCCTTGGCGCTTTTACTCTATTTTTTTTCATTTCTTCTCGTCTGCATAGCTGTCTGTCTGTCTGTCTGTCTGTCTGTCTGTCTGTCTGTCTGTCTGTCTGTCTGTCTCTTCTCTCTCTCTCTCTCTCTCTCTCTCTCTCTCTCTCTCTCTCTCTCTCTCTCTCGCCGCCTCAAACAATCCACTATGTAAACTGCAAACTGTGACGGTCGCTTCAAACGTACATCCATTTTCACTGAACTTCGCTGTCAAAGCACTGTTTGTGTTCCCGTCACCAACATCATCAGATCGCATCCATCTCCGCTTTTTGAGGGCGGTGATCGTCTGTGTTCTTAAGGCGCTGCATATTTCCGCGACAAGCTCTTTTCAACACGGGTTAATATATTGTAGGAAGAGTGTGGAAGATACATATGTACACGGGTCGTGCATATGTACACGCGTACACGCATACAAAAGTACCGTACACACACATGTACACACACACGCGCGCGCAGAGAGAGAGAAAGAGAGAGAGAGAGAGAGAGAGAGAGAGAGAGAGAGAGAGAGAGGAGAGAGAGAGAGAGAGAGAGAGAGAGAGAAGAGGAGAGGAGTGTGTGTGTGTGTGAATATATATACATGCATGTATACAGATGCTATACCAAAAAAATCAGATCAAAACATGCCATTCTGCCAAACAACTGTTCTTTACACACCAAATCATTCATGCCCATTATCTGATCATGCAATAAATCCCGTCACGCTCATCAGGAACATACACGACTTCCAATGCAAAACAAAATAAAGTTCGTCACGCTTTTAGTTCACACAAATGAACTCATTCCCTCGAACACATGCAGTCACGCTTCGAGACGCGGGCGAGGGAGGAATATTTGGACAGACCGCCCCTTTCACGACCTGTCACGCGCAACGAGAATTAATGGCCGAGAATATGCCAGAAAAAAGGGGGCTGTGTGATGTCATGCTTGGGCTCAAAGGCGTCACTATCCTTGGAAACATCCGATGTTCCTCTGACGGGCTTGCAACACCTCCCCGTTCATCACAAGCACCCTCCCGCCACTACAAAAGCACAAACAAACACACCTGCTCGCACATAAAACAAACAAACCCCCCCACCCCTCCCTCCCCCCCCTGCCCGTAGCTCACCCCCCCCGCCTCCCCCTCCCCCCACACGCCCCCCACGCCCACCGAACTCACCTGAACTCTCGTAGCCCGAATCATTTCTGTCATGTCTGGCGGCGGCGTGGACGAAGCGGCCAGTGCGGCTCGCGTAGCTCTTGGGCTGCTGCTCCTCCGAAGCCGCGGCGCCCCACGGCTCCTCCGACAGCACGGGGGCGTCGGCGTGCTCCTCCTGCACGGGCCGGAACACCCGGGGTAAAGCGCTCAGCTCCTGACCCATGGGTTTCTCTCGCTCTCTCCGGGGATACTGGCGGGTTACGCTGTCCAGCTGGCGGCGGAGGCTGCTCAGGCGGTACATGGCCAACCGCTGGCCAACGCCTCCGTCTCCACCACGGGTGCGGGTGGTGGAGAACGCCGGGGGGAGGAGGTAGGGACGTGGGGGAGGAACGCGGGAGGAAAGAGAGGGGGGCGGGGGTGCAGAGGAAGACTGGGAGAGAATGAACTGCCGGGGAGGGGGGGCGGTTGGGGGGGGTGAAAGGACGGAGGAAGAGAGCTTGTTGTGTGTATGCGTACCTAAGGGGGAGGGGGAGGGAGGAGAGGGGGGAGAAGCAGAAGAGGGAGAAGGAGGGGAGGACGGTAGAGGCTGAAGTAGGGAAGAGGGGAAGGGAGGAGGCCAAGCGTGTTTCTAATGAGGTGGAAACGAGGAGAGGACAGCAAGCACGTGGATTAGTAAAGGGAGGAAGAAAAGAAAATAGAACGACACGAAAAAAGAAGAGAAAGGGATACGAATAGAAAAAAGTACAAAAATAGGGGTCAGTCCAGGAACAGAAACAATAACTATCAACCAAACGGAGATTGACAGTCCTTTAAAATCCTCGATAATCCAAAACGGACGACGGATAAAACGAATCGAAAAAGGGGGATGTAAACAAAATCAAAATATCCTTCTATTCAATAAAACGCAACTTAATAAAGCAATTCACTCTACCAACAGCAGCTGTTGTTATTGGCACTCTCAAGCTTGGAGGAAAACTTGAGAGACAGTCTAGGTTACAAACAAGGGAAAAACGAGGGACGAAGGACACGCAGAGAGAGAGAGAGAGAGAGAGAGAGAGAGAGAGAGAGAGAGAGAGAGAGAGAGAGAGAGAGAGAGAGAGGAGAGAGAGAGAGAGAGAGAGAGGAAGAAAAGATAGATAGGTAGAGAGAGAAAGAGAAAGAGATAGATAGAGATAGAGAAAAAGAGAAAGAGAGAGAGAGAGAGAGAGAAAGAAAGAGAGAGGACTAAAATAAGATGAGAGACGTAGACGAAACTCTAGACGAAGTGGGATAAGAAGGTTATCATTAGTAAAGAATGTGAAATCTGGAGGAGGATCTTCAGGTATGTCTTAGAGGAGGAGGAGGAGGAGGAGGAGGAAGGGGAGGAGGAGGAGGAACAAAAGGGAGGAGACAGAGGGAAGAAGAATAGGTGGGAGGGAAGAGGAGATAGAGAAGGAATGCGAGAAGGTGGGAGAGGGATGAAGAGGAGGCGGAGGTTGGGGGGCGGGTGGAGTAGGGAGTAGGGGGGAAGGGAAGGAGCGGGGGAGGGGGGGGCTTAGTGGTAGTGTGTGTGTGTGTAAATATATAAGCGCGAAGACCGGGAATAATCCACGGGAGGAAAGAAAACGGATCTATAAAAAAAGGAGAGACTGAAGGAAAACCGCAAGAAGGTTACGGGGATAAATGAGTACGAGAAAAAAGGAAACTTAAGAAAAAAGCGAAGAAAAGGAAAACAAAAAACTTGGGGGGAGGAAAAAGGAGAAAAAATCGGTTTTTCCAAAGAGGAGAAATCACCCTTTTTCTCACTGAGTTTTGTCTCACGACGGAGTTAATGTCGGGTTGTATAAGACATAAGCACGGCTTTCTCGATTTATCGCTCGTCTGTCCTAGTTAAAAGTGTGTTTTACAATCTCATTTCACTCTGGAAAAAGATACAAGCACACTTTATAAGTAAATAGCTTTTTTTTTTTTTTTTTTTTTTTTTTTTTTTTTTGCAAGACCACGCCGAGTAATGGTACAAGAAAGAAAAAATAGAGTTGAGATTGTTTCATGATTTTCTCTGTCTAATGACCAAGCGTGCAAGCCAAGACAACATTGCAGGAGTTGCACGTGGCCAGACTTGCTTTCCTTCTCTCTCTCTTCTCTTTCTCCTTCCCTCTTTTTCTCACTTTATCCCCTTCCCTACTCTCTATCACTCTCCTCCCCCCCTCTTCTCTCCTCCCTCCACTCTCTCTCTCCCTCCCTTCTCATATTCATATTTTCCTTCCTCTCCCCTTACCATATCTCTCTGTTTCTCTCTTCCTCCCTCTCCCTGTCTCTCTCTATTTCTTTCTCTCTATATATATATTCATCTATTTCTCTCTCTCTCCCTCTCCATCTCCCTATCTCTATTTCTCTCTCCCTCCCC